GTCCCTGCAGCACACGGGTGGAGGAGCCTGTGGTGAGCGGCACTGGGGCCATGCCCATGTGGGACCTGCCCATGGCTGCCGTGGAACAGGAGTGCCCCAGGGCTGAGCAGGGTCTGGGCTCTGCCTCTGGCTGGGCAGCCGGGCTCAGATGGGGGTCCTGTCCCAGCCAGGCAGTGCCCGAGTCACAGTGCAGCTCCTCTGCACCCTTGCTCCTTGACACTCCTTGGGGGCACCTGTACCCTAAGGGGACAGGGATGGGGATACCTCCAGGCTTTCAACCACCTTTGGGCTGGTAGTGGGTGGCAGAGAGTTGTCAGACCCTCGAGATCCCCCCAGGATACCATTTGGGGGGTGCTGGCACCCGTGGTCACAACCTGGGATGTACTGCTCTGTATTTATCACTGCTGGGCTCCTCTGGGTGCCGTGCCAAGGCTCTGCACAGACCCTGTGCAAATCACCCCCCTGGGCTGTCACCCCTCCCCATCCCCGCCTGCCCATCCCTGCTGATGGACTGGTGATACTGCTGTTCCCTGTCCTCCTGCCCAGCCATGGTGGGCTTGTGCAACCATCCACATGTCCCAGCTTTGCCCTTCTCCCCTGGAAACACACCGTGGGCACCTCCCCAGACCTGTGACTGTGGGGGACCACACAGCACCCTCCACCCCCTTCCCCTTCCTCCTGCACAGGGAACCAGGTCAGTGAGGAGTGAGCACTGCCCTGCCCACACAGCCCTGCAGGAAACACATGTCCTTGTGCCCGTGGGACACATGTCCTTGTGCCTGTGGGGGCAGAGATTTGGGCTTGGGCTTTGCAAGGGCACTCGTGCCACTCCCGGTGTCAGCGCTGCCATGTGTTGCTCTGGCAAAGTACCGAGGCACGGGATAGGAGCAGGGCACACCAAAACAGGTCAGACCAGGAGGCAGAGGCAGGTGGGTCGCCCCCAGCCCCTGTGGCACCAAGGAATATTTATTTATACCAAGTAGAGCAGCTCCATCAGGAGAAGCGCCAGCTCAGCCCTGGCTGGGGGCATTTTTGACTGGATGGAGCCTGCAGGGAGGGGAGGCTCAAATACCCAGGGGGGCCCTGTCACCACGTGGGACCCTGCACGTGTCCCTGCTCTACATTGCATGGGGGGTGTGATGGGTGTGTGGGTGAACCAGGCCAGAGCTGCCCCACGGGGATGTGCGGAGCACGAAGCACCCTCCCCTCACCACTGCCCGCACCTTGGGGTGCTGAGCACTGAAGGGCACCTCCATTGCCCCGGGGAGGGGTCCCTGGGGGGCTGTGGTGCAGGATGGACCCCGAGGGCGATGCTGCAGTGTCTGCTCCCAGGGACTGGGTTATATTTAGCACTCCGAGATGGCAGCATGCGGGTGCTGCACCACGGGGAGCAGGGCTGGGGCCCACGGGGCTGACCCAGGGCACAGCCCCTCCCAGTGCCCCCACACAGCCCCACACGGGCACCCTCTGATGCCCTGCTGTCCCCTGGCACCCCATGAAACACTGTGCCTCCCCCAGCACCCTGTGTCCCTGTGCACACCCCCTGCAGCCCCCAGCCCCCATCTCACCACATGCAGCCCCGTGCAGCCCTCACCCACCTCCTCGCCTGCCCCCCAGCTCTTCACTGCTGCCCCCCGTTGCCTCACTGCAGCTCCCCAACCCCTCTGCCCCCTCAGCATTGACTCCAGCACTGTCCCCCAGATCCACCCCATCTCTCCACTCGCAACCCTCACTGTCCCCTCCCGCAATCCCCTGACACCCCATTGCACCCCAATCACATCCCCCAGGTGCTGGCACCGGGGTGACAGGATGTCCCTAGACCAGCGAAGAGGCTGTCCCCATCCCTGCAGGGACCTGCCAACTCTCTGGGGCCAGAGCTCTGTCCTGGCTGCTCCCACTGGAGCCCGGCATGTCCCCCCCGGGTCCTGGCTGTGGGGGTGGCCGTGGGGACGTTGGCAGTGCTCCCAGCCTCGTGCATGCCCTGAGTGTACCCCATCTGACCTGCCTGGGCAGCCAAGGGCTGGGGGTCAGGGGTCAGGAGGTTGGGGATCAGGGGGTTGGGATCAGGGGCCCCACCCAACGAAGGCCAGAGGCATCCCCATCCCTATTGCACCACAACCAGCAGCAGCATCTCCCCCTTTTCACTCAACCCCCCACACTGGGGATATGTCCCCATCCCATACCTGTGAGAGCATGGCCAGAGGGCCAGCAGCCACAGGGCTGGCATGGTGAGTCTCTGGGGGCAAGTCCTGTACCAGAATCCGACCTTGGACGTGGAACTGGGCAGTGAGCAGGAGTGTGTGCCTGTGACTGTGGGCAGACCTCGCCTGGATTTGACCCCAAGAAACCCTGAGCTCAGCAGTCCCTCCCCATCCACAGGGCCAGCACTGCCCTGGGGATCTGTCACAGCCTCTCGGGCTCTGTGCCACCGCCCATTATCCTCTCACTGTGGGGTTGCACCCCGTTGTGAAAGCCGGGTGCTGGCACATGCCATTGCAGGCAGCTTCCTCTCTGCTGAAACAGCGGTTTTGGGTGTGTGACTGCCCTGAGTTGGGGTTTGAGGCTGCATGTCCTCAAAGAAAGCACAGCCCTGGTGCTCCAACCACCTCCTTCCAGCCTGGCTGTTGGTGCTGCATCGCCCGGCACAGCTCTGGCCCCATGCTGGGGCCGGATCCTCCTGCTGCCCGTGTCCGTGGGGAACTGCTCCTGTTGTGCAGCCTCTGGGGCAGGATGGGGCTGGTGGGACCGTGTGCCTGGGGACTGGCCTCAGCAGTGCCCAGGGTTGCCACCACCATCACCTGCAGGAGCAGAGCTGCCCCAGCCCTGTGACCCCCGGCACCAACCAAGTAGGCTGCAGGAGCTGGTTTTCATAAAATCACAGAATATGTTGAGTTGGAAGGGACCCATCCCAACTCCTGGCCCTGTGCAGAACATCCCAAGAATCACACCAGGTGCCTGAGAGTATTGTCCAGACACTTCTTGAACTTTGGGGAGAACAGTTGCGAAACATCATCCCCTGAACCCATGCCAGAGCATGAGCCTGGCCCTTCCCACATCTGAGGACATTTGGGAAATGTCCTCATTCCCAGGAGCAATGTAACCCCCCAAGTCCCCTCTCCCGTTACGGGCCAAACTGGACACTGGGAGAGCCCAGAGCTTCATCCCAGCCTGGGACAGATGTTACAACGATGAGGAGATTTTGTAACTAGTTCATCTGGGAACATTTTGGGGGCATCTTTGCTCACACATGGCCAAACCTGCTCCTGGAGTGATGTCCTGGCCATGCTTAAGCAGCTGGAGGGCCTTGGAGCTCTATGAAAACCCTTTTTGGAGGCACGAAGCTCAGTGTGGTCATGGGAGCATTCAAAGGCTTGGGATGTGACTTTGAAAGACTTTTAATTCACCTGCAGCTGTGACCCAAGGGCTGGCACTGCCCCGTGTCCTTATCCCTCACAGCACACACGGCCTCTCCTCCACTGAGTCCTTATTTGAGGTTAATAGGGCTGGAGAAATGGGCTCTCAGTCAGCACTTGCTCCAGAAAAGCCCCATTTCTTCCTTAATTGCAACTCAAAATTAAATTAGCAGTTTTAAATTTACTCTGTGCCCAAGAGGTGCCACGAGGGTGGGGAAGGACATGCTGTACCCTTCATCCTTATGTAATAGAAAGGGCAAATTCCAGCTTTGAGGGCAAAATTGCTGCCACCTCTGCCCTGGCTGGCCCATTGCTTCTGTGTCTTTGGGGACAGAGATGCTCAGCCTGGATTTGATATGAGCCTTTGGGGTGTTGGAGACATTTATCCTGGGTTCGGGATGAGCCTTTGGGGTGAGGCAGATGCATATTCCAGATGTGGGGCTGCCCCAGCTTCCCCAAGCAGCCACATCAGACTCACTGGGATGTTGCTGTGACCACCAGGAGACACCTGCCCTGTGCCAGGGCTGCATATGCCCCCCACATCCATAAAGGATGGCAGGAATGTGGGTGCAGGATGGGCATGTGGTTGCAGGAACAGAGAGACAGGTAGCAGTGTGCTCGGGGAGGGGGATGGCATCAGCTGCATTATTGATGCTGTAATTCAGCAACTGTGGACTGGGATGTGGTTTTGTTTTCCAGACATAGAAACCCCCCTGGGATGGGAATCATCAACCAAGGACAAGGGGTCTGCAGCCACCCCATACCCTCTGCACCCACCGGGGTGGGGGCTGTGGGACGTGCTGGTGCTTTGGAAGCAGCTGCTCCACCATGGCCCACAGCAGGAGTTGCTGCTCCTGGAGAAGGGAAATATGGGGCCCAGTACTGGGCCAGTGGGGCTGTGCCTGCACAGAGACCCTCTCTGTGCACACACACACAGCCTCCAGCGTGCACGTGCACACACCAGCCCGTGTGCTCAGCTCACACCTCGGGGAGCTGCTGTGTCCTGGGAGTGTCCTCCCAGCAGCTCCTGCTGCGAATTCCTGCCTCTTCCAGAGGGGGAGCTGCCATCCTGGTGACCCCTGGGTCCACTGGGGGCAGGCAGCAGGTGTTCCCCACCGATGCCATTGGCCAGTGCTGGTGGGTGCACAGCAGCCCCCAGGGCAGTCCCTGTGTGCCCCCAGAGAGGGGCTGAGACAGCCCAGCACTGCCCGTGTCCCTGCCCGGCTCCCTCCCACACCATGTGCCACCTGGCATACCCTCGCCTCGGTATCCCACATCACTCAGGGAGAAAGGGGCATCCAGCAGGTGTTTGAGAGCCCTTGGTGTGGCTGGGGACCACTCGCCAAGGTGGGCAGGGTCCCCCACGGTGCCCATCCACGTGCGGTGGGACCAGGAACTGGGCAGGGAGGGGACACGACTGCACCAGAGCCAAGAGCCAGGTTTGAGGAAGAGGTGTCGGCCCAGGGGAAAGCACTAACCCTGGGTATCTCCCCCAGCTTGCCCGAGATGGAACAGAGCCAGGGTGCAGCATCCCGGTGTGTCCCCCACTGCTGCCCGCAGCGACGCTGCCCCAAGACTCCGGCTCGCTGTTCGTTCCAATATAATCTTTATTGGGGAGACTGATGGGGGTCAGAACAAGGCCGGGTATAAAACATGATCATGGTCACAACCAGCAGCGGGAGGCATTGGCAGAGCAACACAGAGACAGTACCGGCCCCGTTCTGCACCAGGGGGTGGTCCCGGGGCTGTGTCGGCAGCAAGGCCCGCTCCCTCGGGGCGGGCAGGGGGATGGTCTGGCCCCTCTCCCTGGGTGGATGCTGAGCTTTGGCCAGTGCCAGGGGCTGCTCTTTCCTCCAGGATGCAGGGTTCTGGGACCCCTCTAGCTCGCTCAGCCCCCATGCTCCGGGGCTGGCTGGCATGTACCCCTGGTGTGCTGGGTTATGGTGCTCAGCCCCGTGGGAACACCCACAAATTTATGGCTTTTTCTTTATTTTTTTTGCTTTTTTGGCAGCAAACTTACTCCTCTGGATGCTCTGGAGAAAGCAAGACTGTGCACAGGGGGCTGCTGCCCTGCCAGCCCCTCCGCACAGGGGTCACATCAGAGATGCTGCTCCAGGGAAGGGACTGTGGGCAGGAGCCAGACCTCAGTCCCCTGCCTTGCCAAATCCCCTCACTGGACCCAGCAATTTGGGATACCGGACCCCATGCCACCCCCAGGAGCCATCTCACAGGGCATAGGTGTGGGTCTCAGGTGGAGCAGCAGAGAACGGGCACAGCTCAATGCCTTTGTGAACACATAATGGGCTGGGATGGGGCAGCTGGGGATGGATGGGGAAAAAACAAGAATCCTCCAAAACGAGGACAAAGTGGAGCTTTCCTCAAGGGCCTGTGGAGGAAACGGGCCGCGTGTCTGCTGGCATCCGAGGGGCCGGTGCGGCGGCTTGGCGTGGCGACTGAGACTCGGCGCTTGGCGGCGTGGCCACTGAGATGAAAGCTTTGGCAAATAACTTACAGAGACGGGGGGAGGAGGGGGCAGCTGGGGACCTGTCCTCGCTTCCTGTGCTGGGAGGGTGGCCCAGTGTGGCATCGTGCACCTCCAGGGCTCCTTGTGCTGCTGCTGCCGGCCGTGGGGCGATGGGGAGGGTGTCACCCCAGATGGGACCCAGCGTCCACTCTCGGGAGAGCCGGGGACAGAGGAGGGAGAGGTGCCTGGGGAAGGAGCACGGCGAGGTGCTCGATGCACAGCAGGGGCACCCACTGCAGAGCCAGGGGGAGCTGGAGCCCCTGGATGTGCTGGTAGATGTGCTCCCCATCCCAGTGTCCCTCGCCCTGGGCACCACCGGTGTGTTGGGGGCTGCTGCCAGGTCCCAGCATCCCCATCACCTCCCGACAGTGCTAGTGAGGACGCTGGTCCCATGTCCTTGGCTGTGACGAGTGTCAGAGCTTTCCCTGGCTGTGCCACTGGCAAAGAGGGGACTGGAGACCAGTCGTGGTGCTGCGCTGAGCTCTCCCACCCACTGTGTGCCAGGAGGTGCGGGCAGGGGCGCAGGGCTCACATGATGGTGCAGGAGGACAGTGGGTTCCGGATGTGGCAGGTGCAGGCGGCCCCACAGTACTGGCGGAAGGTCTGGTAGCAGCTGCGGTCGGTGTCGCTGCTCCACTGGACGGGGTTGGCAGCCAGAGCCTCGGCTGGCAGTCTGTTCAGGATACTGGTGTTGACAGCCAGCGCTGCCAGCCCGTAGTCGGTGAAGAGGACGGTCTCCCTCTTGCAGGTGGGGCAGGAGATGAACTTGTACTTGGGGCAGGACTCGTAGAGGATCTGCAGGCACTCCTCGCACACCGAGTGCAGGCAGGAGAGGATGCGGGGCCGCTTGTTGGTGAAGTTGTACATGTGGCCGCAGGTGGGGCACTCCAGGGGCTCGCAGGGCGTCGAGGGGTGCAGCACGTACTGGTTGACGATCACCTCGTCCGACGGGGGCTGCCGGCTAGCAGACCTCGGAGCTGCCCTTCCGCTGGCTCTGGTACCCGCCTCTCGCCGCGGCAGGGGGGGAGTCCGGGCAGCGGCAGGGGGCCGGGGTGGCATCCAGGCGGGGATGTCCCCGCACGCCTGTTGACGATGATCTCGGACTCGGAGGGCCACGCACGCTTGGCCACAAGGGGCGGCTCGCGGCGCGGGGCCGGGCGCGTAGCGTGGCTGCGACGCCTGCAGCTCCGAAAACTTCTCCGGGTGGATGATTTTCATCGCCTCCATTTTAATGATGACCTGTTGCCCTTTCAGACACGACATGAGTATCGTTTTCACATTACTGTCCACTGCTCTGGGGTCTCCGAGGGACGCCTGCATGAGGCTAAAACATGCTGGCAGCCTGCTGAGCTTTCAATCTTGGTCTGGCAGCGGAGCAGAAGCACGGGGAGCAGCTGCTGGCGCGGGAGAGCATCCTGGGGACACGGGGCAGCACCAGAGGGCCCCACGCCCCTCTTCTCCAGCCAGCCCTGAGGGTGCCAGGTGCGAGGCCGGGGCAGGCAGGGGAAGGCAGGGCTCAGAGTGGCATCCTGCCTGCCTTGCAGGATGCTCTTGGGCGGGCGATCAAAGTGTCAGTTCCCTGCAGCCTCTCTGGGATGTTATGGTGACATTGGCAGTCACTCAGCAGCCCTCCTCAGTCACACAGCAGCCCTCCTCTTTGCCTTCACTGCCACTTCCCACCAGATCAGTTGCAGTCAGGAACAGTAATCTGGGGATGGTGATGCCGGGCACTGCCCGGGGCAGGTGAATCCAGGGAGGGTCTCACAGGAACCAGAAGCAGCTCTCAGTTTGCCCCAGCCCAGCCTTTATTCCTGTTTACTCGCGGTGGGATCCTCGTGGCGCTGAGGAATGTGTTTGCAAATTCCTTTGCTCTGACTTCCCAGCTCTCCCACTTAACGTCACCGGCAGCTCCCACAGGGCAGGGTCTCAGGGTGCATCCCCTGCCGGAGGGCAGCTCACCTTGGCTGCTGCGAGGCCACCAGGCACCTTGTCCCCTCCGTCCCTGGTACCTCTGTCCCCAGCTCAGCTTCTTGCTTGCTGGAAATGAAAAGCAAGAGAGGGTTGGATCCAAGGCTCTTCAGGGATCTACTGGCTGCCAGCACTCCCTCGGGATGCCTGCCTGCCTGCCTGCATCCCGGCAATTTGGCAACTGAGCCCTGCAGGTCCTGTCCATCCGCCCGCGTGCTTGGGCTGCGGAAATGGGAGCAGGCAGGTATTTCCCCACAGGCATCCCCTCAGTGACCCTGAGTGTGGGGTCCTGGAACCCCCCTCTGCCCTGGGGATGGGAGGGTAGGTCCCCCCGTGTCCCACTGGGACACAGGGCCCCTCCTGAAGGGGCTCCTCCACCGATCTGCCTCTGCTCAGGATTTTCTCTCACGTTTAGCCCCTCCTCTGCTCAGTGGATCTATTTTTACCTCCATCGCTTGCTCCCGATCTGTCCCTGCTATTATCCCTTCCTCCAGCTTCCTCTCCCCCTTCCCATCTCCCTGCCCTTGTCCCGGGGCTTCTGGACAGGACGGTCCAAATTTGGGGGCAGGAGATGGGGAGCAGGCACCCAGCCTGTGGCCATTTTCTCCCTCAGCAGCCCCTGTGCCAGCCCAGCTCTCCTCTGAGAAGGGCGAAGGCGCTTTCCTCCATCACACGGCAAATCCTGTTAGAGGGATGCCTGCTCCTGCTGAGCGCTGCCAGGCCTGGCAGAGGGGGCCCGAGGGGGCCATCTGGTTGCAGCAGGAGCCTTTGGGGATGAAGAGAGGCCATGGGGGTTCAACCCCAAGTGCCTGAGAGCTGGGGGGGGCTGGATCCCTGCCGAACCCCAGTCGAGGTGTCCCAGGGGCCATGCCCTGGCAACACCGGGGTCCTGCAAGCATCTGGCCCTGAGGAGGGAGGCCTCACGTCCTGCATCCCCCATCATGGGCCCACATACTGCACCCCTCACCCTGCACCCCACAAGTGCCATATATTCCTCCCCCCTGCCCCGCAGACAGCAGCAGCCCCAGGGGCTCTGCCTGCAGCTCTCACAGAGACACTCACCCACGGGCACAGTGATCCGGGTGGTCAGAAGTGCCACACACTGTCACCATGTTCCCAAGCTCCTGCTGTCACACCCCTCCACACACAGCCCTGGTGCAGCACTTTGCACCCCATCACCCCGGGGTGAAATACAGCCCCCCACTGTACCCCACATCCCCATCACCCTGTGGCAACACAACCCCCCCCCCATACCCTGCACCCCATCACCCGTGGGGCAACACAGCCTCCCCGACATAGCCTGCACCCCATCACCCGTGGGGCAACACAGCCTCCCCGACATAGCCTGCACCCTCATCATCCCTGGGGCAACACAGCCCCCTGATGTACTCTGCATTCCCGTCACCCATGGGGTGACACAGCCCCCTGCTGTACCCCACACCCCATCCCCTTGGGGTGACATCCTCAGCACTTCTGGGGTGACTCAGCCCCCCAGTG